TTCAAGCTTTTAACTTTTGTTTGCAGAGCAGAGATCACATCTCCTCCCATATCAGTGGAGCACGCCATCAGTGTCTGTTCCAATTGCTACACCTTACAATTTTCTCCATAGTCAATGTGTCTGATATTCAACGATGGGTTACTTTGATCAAAACTAGCTTTTAAAACAGGATACTGTTTCAAAATGCCTTTCAATAGTTTTGTCCTTATTTTGGCCAAGTCTTTTATGTTTTTGAGGGGTTTTGGTGGTTCGGATACAAACTCTGATATACTGGATAAACTCTTATGTTTCACTCCAGCTATCCCTGGATCAGTGAAGATGTCCGTCTTCAGTGTTGTTTTTCATTTGTTATATTTCAGCTTGTAGAAGAACATCCTATCAGAACGAAAAAGAACATGGGTGGAAGTAATAAAAATAACAAGAGGAGAAAAAAGCTAGCTGAACATTTACTAAAGGAAGTTGAACCAAGCCAGCAGCAAAGATCTTTAGAAATACATGATACTTCCATTTAAGAAAATTAAACAAAACTAAATAAATTAGTTAAATAATGCTTATACCAACCAACAGCGCTTCTAATGATAGCCTAGTTCTCTCCACTTTCATCCTTTCTTCAGGGACAAGAGCTGGTTTGTTTTAGAATTCTTGTAATGCACATAATACATTGTGGATAGTACTGAAATCTAAGTTATATAGTATGTAGTTGTATAACTACAAAAATGATTCTTCCATATAGGAAAAAATATGTTCACTACATTTTCCAGACTATTTAACTGTTATTTTTACTGAAAATCATATTTGATGATTTTTTTTAGGAAAGAACAACTTGTCATATCATGCTTGGGAGGGGAAATGGAGGAGTCTGGTGTTTCCAGCTGACGTAGCAAAACTGAGGCTTTAAAAGAAGAAATGTTATAAATCAGGGCCACTTGTTGACATCCTTCTAAAAAGCTTTAGAGACTGTTTGCTGAGATTATGTATTAGGATGGTTCATGGCAAGAATCAGACTCAAAAATGGATGAGAAATCATTGAGGAAAGATTGTTTTGAAGTGGACATAGGTTTGGATAAGGAACCAGTGTAGAACATGAAGCAACAATGATCCCATTTGTCTTTTACCTTAATAGATGTTGGGTGTGTGTGTGTGTTAAACCACTGGGATTTTCCATATGGTCTTTGGAGTTTGTTCCAGGTTCAAGGTATGAGGAATTAGTAAGGCATTACTTATTTGGGAGAACATTAGAATGTCTTTAATGCCACAGACCAAAAATCCAGCTAGCCAAGTATCCCCTGCCTATGGCAATGCCTGGTAGGAGATGCCTAAGAAAGAGTTTTAGAATTCCTGACTGGTGTCTTTCTCCAGAGCATGTTGTAACCTCTAGCATTTTGTGGTTAAAGAAATTCGTGAGGCAGAGGTGATATCTTTTCTTTTAAGAACTGTCAGTGATTCTTCTCTTTGTGAATCCATGCTGACTTTTAGCATCCATGGGACACTTCCTCACCTGTATTTTAGGTGAAAGGTATCTGTATGTGCATGTGTGAGCACACACAAGCCACTTTGTTCCCTCTTGTCTAGGCACATCCTGGCAGGCCAGATACAGCAGAGCTTGTATTCTACACACCTCTACAGACAGAAGTCATTAATAAAAACAGTTTGGGGAGCATTTCTGTCAGCATTTGTTGTGTTTTAGCATAAGACAAACTGGTTTTATTGGTCCTTATGTTTACTCATAGACATTGTGATAGTAGACTAGAGTTTTTAAGGGGGAATTTTTTGGCTGTTGTTGTGACCAAAGCCTCTCCCATGGGCACAGAATGCCTAATACGAAGGGAAAAACACACCAAGTGGAAGGAATGATAAAGTGTAGGTCTAGAGAACCTCATATGAAAGAATTCTCAGGGAGAAAAACTGTTTGAATGTATCTTTGGTTTAGGTAGGATTCTGCTCAGAATTAGCAGCACTAAAGTAAATTAAATTACCAATGGCAAGATGGCAAAGTGGGTCATCAGCCCACCATGATTAACTCAAACTGCTGAAACATTTGGCCTAGCTGACGTAGTTTCCTATCTCCTGGAATGCACAAAGTATGTGATAAGAGGCATGGAGTTTTCCTGGGAAAGGTGGGCAGACTCAGTGAGCTCCAAGGAGTGAGCTTGGAGGCAGCATAACAGCAAATGCATCAGAATGCACTTCTTGGAGATGAGTAATTGACATGACCTTTGAACAGGCCTTGGACCCAATCTTATCTCGCTAGGGCTCCTATTTTTCAAGCCTCTCCCGAATTTATTTCTTAGGCAAAAACTAAAACTTGTGTATTTTCCTTCTCCCCTCATTCTTTTTATTAATCACTAGCTAGTTTGACATTTCATCAATATAGACTCCATTATGATCTTTCAATATTGTGCAACTTTCTCCTCTTTAACATATTATTTGTAATTTTGATACTAATAACTAGATAATAATTAAGGCAAAGCAAAAACAGTTTAGATTTAACTTTAAAAAATTGGTTCCACTTCTATATGAACTGCTACCAAAGTTTTAGGTTATTTGAATGAGAAAATCTATCAGAAGCACACTGAAACATCAGCTCTGTTGGGATTATCTGGAAAGGAAACAAACCTTAGAAATCAAAGCAAAAATCGTCACTTTCCCTCCTTAAAAAAAAAAATCTGATAATTTAGTCAGGAAACAAAGCAAAAAGGATCACTTGAATGTGACTCTTTAGGGAGAAGGAAATTGCAAGTTCTAGCATTGTGCAAATAAGAAGTAGGAATGAGCGGGTTGAAGCTTGTTTCATATGCCGATGGTTTTTGTTTGTTTCATTTCAATGCCAGATGTAATCAAAAAAAGACCTTTTATTTTTTCCTCTTTTGTTTGTGTGTTGTCTGAATACTGATATTGCACACAGTTACTTACAGGTTTATGTTAGAGGGAATGCTTGTCCCAGAAAGCTCAATGGAAGGGAAAAAAGGTTTAATGAAAGTGGTAGAGTGTGAATGTCTTCAACTACGCTAAAAATGGTAAAGTCTCTGGAAAAAAAAATTATAATAAAATTTGACTATAACCTGGGAAATACACATTCTTTACCAGATAAACTAGAACTTACTCTCTCCTGAGCAAGATACTCCCCTACGACAGTACAAATTAGGAAATTGTGGGTGGAAGATCCTGAGGACTGGGACAGGGACACATGGGGGATAGTGAAAATTCTGATTCAGATAGGGATGAAAAGTTCCACAGGAACTTAAGCAAAAACTTCTTAACAGTGAGGGTGACAGAGCCCTGGAACAGGCTGCCCAGAGAGGTTGTGGAGTCTCCTTCTCTGGAGATCTTCCAAACCCGCTTGGACGCAGTCCTGTGCCACGTGCTCTAGGTGTCCCTGCGTGTGCAGGGGGGTTGGACTAGGTGATCTCTAGAGGTCCCTTCCAACCTTAAGCATTCTGTGATTCTATGATTCCTCTTTTATGCTTCAACAAGATGCTCAACTACTATAATTTCCTTGCTACTTCATTGCTGATAGTCTCATTCAGGGCTCTCATGCAAGTATTGAGTTGATAAAGGAAGTCAGTAGCTTTCCATAGGAGGAAGATGTTTTAAATGTTTACAATTTGATTACACACGTCCAAACTTTGTTCCACTGTAGTGGAGATAAGATCCCATTTATTATAATGCCACTCAGGGTTAAAAGCTACTGAAGGTCCCTGAGTATTCCTGACACACACTATTCATGTTTATGCTAAGAGTAGAGAGTTGTCAAAACTGGTGTCTCTTCTGTCACTGGCAACTGTGATGTGAGTTCTCAGATCTTAGTGCCCAACATCATCCTTGCCTGATAAATATCGGTGGCCTCTCTTTGGTTGCTGCTTACACTAGCTTGCCCTTTAGTGGAATAAAAGGCGTCTCTTGTGCACAGTAGACAGATGTTCACAGGAGGGGGTTATATCTAATCCATGAAACAGAGTGGGATTATTTTGTTGTATGTCAATTATAGGAAAGTTCTTTTGTAACATGCTGGAAATGTATTTCCTGTTTCTTCCCTCAAATTCCTAGTAATAAAAAGTACTCAAAATATAAACAAGGCAAAATAATACTGAATGTCCGTTCAACACCTACTATGGAAACTAGTGCTAGACTCCTTAAATATTTTTTTGCTTAGGATTGGAAGAACTGTTATCAATAACTTTTCTTAGAGTATTGGAGTAGGAATGGACAAGAACAACCCTACAGTAGTAGTGAAAGTTACTTCAAATAATCAAACCATATTTTTTCATTAATTTTGTTAGTTTCAAGAATTGAAAATTTCTTTAAAATGTGGAAGAACATTCAGAAAGAATTGAAAAAAAAGTATGAGCTGTCTGTAATTCACGTAAATATTTCTGAGTTAACGTCTTAACAGTTCCTCTTTTTCCATAACAACCTCCTGTGGTGTTCTCACCAATCATAATAGATTCAGTGTATTCACAGATTGTTTTAACTATAATTCTTTTCATTCTGTCTTTCTCTTTTTGATCAAGAATCTGGCAGTTTTATGTGATATCACAAATCACATCCTGCCTAAAAATTGTTCCAGGATGTAAGTGTTGTCTGGACACTGGAATGACAGCTTTGTCTTCTAAAGGATTTGAAAATAGAATGATAGAGTGGTTTGAGTACTAATGAAGGCATTGACAGCAGCTCCAGCAGATCTTTAATTCTAGAAGCTTTTGCTGTCTAAATATGTTTGAAATCATGAGGGGCTGCTCTTACCAGTATCATTCTAAATCATCAGCTTGTGGTAATGCTGGGCATCATTACTCTTCATTATAAGAATTTGTGAGACTTTTCTAAGAATTAACTTATGCTTGTACTGTGCTCTGAATATGCAACATGTATGAACATCTAAATAATGACATGCAAATATTTGTTTACTATATTGTGATAACATTTTTAAATGAATGAGTAAATGCTGCTTATAGGCTTTTTTAGTTACTTTTTAACAAATAATTTAATTGCTCATATTTCAGATAATGGAGGACAGACCTTATCAGGTGGAAACAACTGGCCACTGAGAGGAAGAAAATGGACTCTTTGGGAAGGAGGAGTGAGAGGAGTAGGCTTTGTTGCAAGTCCTTTACTGAAGCGGAAAGGTGCAGAAAGTCACGAACTTATCCATATCTCTGACTGGCTGCCAACGCTGGTGCACCTGGCTGGAGGACATACCAATGGCACAAAGCCTCTGGATGGCTTTGATGTTTGGAAAACTATCAGGTAACTTGCATGCCTAATGACTGAGTCAGAATTCTAGCATGAAAAGAATTTAATGAGCCTAGAGAACAGAGTTGGAATAGGGGGAAAGTGTAAACACTCTTTTACCTAAATAGAGAGAAGGTAGAAGCGCAGTTAACTTTGTTACTAATGAGAAAGTTATCCAGGTTATAGACTGATCCCGGTCACAGATTCAAAATCTCCATGCAACGTTAGCCTGAGTTTGAGTTTACCAGCATAGACACAACATTGCTCAAACACGGTGTGCTGCTTCAAGAGTCCTCCATGATCCAGAAGTACATTAGCTGATTTTGCACATCATAGAGTGCAGTATAGTAAATTTAATGAACCCAGCCCTCCTTTCTGCAGAGCCAAATTGGTATTTCTGCAGTATGTTTCTGGAATTGGACATGTGGGAAATCTGTGCAGATGTTAAACCAGCTGAGTGTGGTTTCAGCTTTGAATCTGCAGGATTTGTTTAACTCAGTACAGGTCCTGTCAGTGGCTTGACCTTATGACCATTTGGGTAGATCTATAACATAATGTGCAGCCTATCCATGCTCTCAGAAAGCCTGTGAGCCTGGAGGCATTACAAGACCTGATGCTGTGATGCTGTGCTTGGTTTAGCAAGCTGGAGCACACGGGAATGCAGCGAGGAAATGCTGTACAGGAGGCAGCTCACCTGCAGTGGAGTTGGCAATGAGACCAAGCTGATGAATCTTGCTGGGCTCCCTCTGCCTTTGTGCACTTCTGTATTACCTGGGATATCCAAACCCTGTGAGCTCAGATAGTGTTTAACTGCTGCCTAGCTTGTTTCCTTGGTGCTGTCTCTATTTCTGAGAAGCTGTGTTGTAACGAATCATACTAGCTGGAATGTCAAAGCGCTTGGGCCTCGTGCCCAGGTGCACTGTGTGGCTCTCTTCCAAATGGAAGAAGACACGGATGTGGTCATTAACTCATAGAAAGGAATGGAGTCTCCTGTCCATCCGGAGACGGGGAAATGTTTTACGTGTTAATGTTTTGTGGGAGAGCATCACGTCTGCAGGATCCCAGTGTACTCCTAAACTATAGACTGACTTTTCCTCCAGCAGAATGCCTGTCTGCCTCAGATGCAGTTTCAGCCACGAATCCTTTGTCATGAACTGATCTTCTCAGATCAGATGACTTTAGTGGTAAGATTTGTATATGTAGTGTAAAATAGGTACAGTTGTGCATCCCCTGCTTGCCCTGGCACCTGATTCCAACTCGCATAAGGACAGAACATAACTTTTACTAGCACACTTAGAGAATTGGTGAGCTCAGATTTTTATTTTTAACAGTTTCAACCTGGAGGGTCTGTGTCTAGTGTGACTTTCTCAGAGGTAAAAGTGAATTGTTAGATTGCTGCTTGGCTGACCTACACCAGAAATGTCAAATTTCATATGGTTTTCAGTTAAAATCAAGAGAAATGAGCGTGCCGAATTTCATGATCATAGCTCAAAAGGTCACTTGAATAGGATAGCGAACAACAAAAGCACAATGCCCTTTTGGTGAGGTTTGATCGAAAGCTCAAATACATTTCATTTCTAGGACCAGGTGGCTCATAATGAGTGAAATAGAATTGGCTAATATTCTACCTCATTTGAAAAGTGGTCATTAATAGCCGGTTACCATGTGGCAATTATGTTTTTTTTTAGCGCAGTTTAATAAAAATAGATTCATATGCTCCTGTAATAGATTACTTTCATCTAGAAAGTCTTGTTACATATGTGGGTAAGCAATGGGGAAAAAAAAGGATATAAATTTAGAACCTTTATTTAGATATTCAAAATATATGTAGAATTCCCAGGAATATGGAATTCATTCCAGTATCTGTCTGGATGCATTTGTATTATAATTAGTATAAATTCTGAAACCTTTAAACAAAATTAAGTTTCCATACGGATTTTAAGATATTTGGTAGTCCAAATTATGAATTGTATTCACATGACATAGATTATATTATGTTCTCGAGGTATATTGAAGTGCCTATATGTCTGCAACTGTTCATTAACACCAGAACCATAAGAAAGCTAATGTTTAGGAGCAAATGGCATGAAAACTCTCACCTTCAGAAGAGAGAGGTTTATTGGTCACCAAAAAAAACCCAAAAAACCTCTTTGCCTTCCTATCTTATCTAGCTAATAAATGCAAATAACACAGTATTCTTGTGTCTTCCCACTTCTGGCTATCTGGACTTCCCAGATTCTGCCTATGGGACATGACAATGGGAATTTTTCCAGAGTTCCCACAGGGCCACTGCATGGGCTTCCCTCTGCCACTGCAGCATGTTGCTGCTGTTCTCAGCTATTCAGTCCCTTTGATGCATCTCTTCACTCCCAAAATATTTCTGCCCACCTGACTGAAACTTCAGTCTCGAGTAAATCATAGTAGACTGTGCTCTTCTAATACTACAGATTGTCATAAATACAGCTACAATACAGCTGGAAGCTCTAAAACCATGTACTTATTAGAAATGACATTCAAAAATTCATTAATAATATCAGTTGGGAAACTTTTACAAAAAGAACAATTGAGAATACCAAGAATACTTAGTAAAAAAAAAAAAAAAAAAAAAGGAAAATACTATATTTTAAGCAGTCTAGACTGAACAGCAAGTTTCTGAGCAAGTGTCCCAAAAGGTTCTTACATTTCTAAGAAATATCTAGTTTCTAGGTGTTTGCTATTCCATTGAAATGAAAATGTGAAGCAAAGTAATTTTTCTTACGTAGAAAGCTGCCCTGGTTGGTACATTGTTTTGATATATTTTGTTCTCCAGTACTGAATATCCAGTATTTCCTTGCTCAGGAAAAAAAGCATTTTGTTTTGCATTAACAGGAAAATGAAAAACTACAGTGCTGATTACTGTTAAGCATGCATAGCAGCATGTTAGGGAGTGAGAGAGTTGGGATAAAATGCAGTCAAAATAGTCAGTGTCTTCAAAGTTTGTCAGCTTTTTGTCAGAGTTTTGTATTTTCGTAATGTCAGAAATACAAGAATCGATTGGATGAAGTAAGCAAAGCAAGATCAACTAATGTAATAATTTGGTACATTAAAAATCTAGTTGATCTTGTTCTGCTAAAAAATCTAATTTGAGGAATTAAATGCTTGTTGGGAAAAAAATCTGACAGCTATTTTTAGTTTTAAAGGAATGCTGAAGAACGAGATATCTAAATGTTATGCTCAGCTCTTTTTCTGAAGAAGGCTTATCTGAAAAATAATTATTTTAGGGAAATGTGTACAGATATGACCCAGAGAAATACAATATACGACAATGCATTACAAATGCTTTTGCCTACTGACTGAGGATGTTTTTGTGTGAGAGGAACAAATTTACCCTTGAAAACCTTGGATTCCTTCCCAAGGACACTGGGACTTGTGACTATTAAAAACCAGTATGAAAGATCACGTGTAGATGTTTGTTCAAGTTCACTAAAGAATACGAGATCTTTCCTTCTGTTTTAAAAACAGTGCAGGAAAGATCATAGTGAAATTCTCAGAGTAAACCAAGGTTCTCAGTGTTTACCAAGGGTGGCCCCCTGGAATCCCAGACCCTAGAAACTAGAGAAGGTGCCTGGAGAGAGGAAGACTTGCCCTGGGTAGAGGAAGATTGGGTCAGAGAGCACCTAAGGAACCTCGATACCCACAAATCCATGGGCCCTGATGGGATGCACCCCAGAGTGCTGCATGAGCTGGCAGAGGTCATAGCTAAGGCGCTCTCCATCATCTTTGAAAGATCCTGGAGAATGGGGGAGATGCCAGAGGACTGGACGGAAGCCAATGTCACACCAGTCTTCAAAACAGGCAAGAAGGAGGACCCAGGCAACTACAGGCCAGTCAGCCTCACCTCCGTCCCCGGAAAAGTGATGGAACGGCTCATACTGGCTGTTGTCTCCAGGCACGTGGAGAGCAAGAAGATGCTCAAGAGTAGTCAGCTTGGATTCACCAAGGAGAAATCTTGCTTGACTAACCTGATAGCCTTCTATGATAAAATGACCGGCTGGATAGACGAGGGGAGAGCGGTGGATGTCGTCTATCTCGACTTCACCAAGGCTTTTGACACCGTCCCTCACAACATCCTCCTGGGCAAGCTCCGGAAGTGTGGGATAGATGAGTGCACAGTGAGATGGATTAGGAACTGGCTGGATGGCAAGGCCCAGAGGGTGGTGATCAGTGGTGCAGAGTCTAGTTGGAGGCCTGTAGCTAGCGGGGTCCCCCAGGGGTCAGTCCTTGGTCCAGTCCTGTTCAATTTATTCATCAA